AAAATAGAGAGCTAGTAACAGAAGATTTGAGAACAATGACCGAAGATTCCTCTCCTTTAAAGGATCTTCTATTTCGCTCCCTCCACAGACACCACCAAAGACATAGGGGCACCATCCTTGAGTATGTGCTCCCACCCAACCCCCTCTCCAGGTGTCCATCAGACCTCTCGTAGATCTAGGCATGACCAGTAAACTCCAAATAGGCCTAGCAAAAGATTCCAACATTCAATCGTCACTGGACAATGCAAAAGATGATGGTCAACCAACAAGCCATTGCACTTACACATGCAACACTAATTCACCGTGATATGCTTTCTCCTCCTTAGATTATCCAGCGTCAATATTTTACCTCACACAACTGTCCAAACAAAGAAAGCCACTTTCAATGGCGCCTTAGTTCGCCACTGCCTTCCAAGGGAATACCACCCCAACTGGGTCCAAAAGGCATCCGAAATAAGATCTCGCACTAAAGATTCCCCTAGAAGAAGGAATCCAAACAAGAGAATTCCTACCTCCTCCACCAATCACCTGGCTATACAACAACTCTAAGAAACCAAAGACAACATCTATCTCCCAGTCTTGAAAAGATCATTGAAAAAACACGTCCCAAACTAGTCTCCCGCTATCAAGGCGATAACAGTCAGCCACCAAGGCATGCTTATTAGCCGTAATCCTAAACAGTCTAGGGAAAGAGCATGTTAACGTGCAGTCTCCACACCATAAATCCTCCTAAAACCGAATCTCCATACCATAATGAACTCTGAATCTGATATGCTTAGAAAACTCATTCCATGCCTTCCTAATGGCTTTCCAAACACCGACACCTCCAGGAATAAACACTGCAGCATAGCACCACCCCCCTCCTCTCCTCCCTAAAGCGACATAAGTTAACCCTCCTCCACAACCTATGCCGCTCAATAGCAAACCTCCACAACCACTTACCTAAAAGGGTCCTGTTAAAAAGCAGCAGTCTCCTAATCCCAATTCCTCCGAACTTAATAGGCTTACACACCTGCTCCTAACGACCCAGATGATACTTAAACTCATCCCCCAAACCTCCCCATAAGAAGTTCCTCTGAAGTCTTTCAATACAAGCAGCAACCGAGGACGAAAGTGCTTTTCAACAAGGTAACCCTCCCACCTTTAGATAAATATTGCTTCTTCTACCCTGCAAGCCTCCTCTCCACCCTCTCCACCACCGGATACCAAGCACCTACAATCCTCGAAGAATCCCCCAGAGGCAAACCCAAGTAAGAAATCGAAAAAGAACTGACTCCACAACCAAGAATAGAAGCTAACTCCTCAATATCCGGAACCTCCACCACTGAAATCAAAGCGCTCTTCCCCATATTCATTTTCAAACCCGAGATTGCCTGAAAACAGATCAACACCGACCTCAAATATCTTATCTGAGACACCTCGTCCCTAACCTTGCTTCCATCTATCTTTCTCCGATCTAACCAAACTCACCGAACGGACTGAACCAACCTCGGATCTGCGAAGCATACGTCCTTTCTTCTCTATATTCAGGGATAACATGGATTTCGCCACCACAAGCGATCGATCTCCTCCGTCACTGAAATCTTGAAAGCCCAAGCCCTGTCTTCAACAATCACAAACTCCGGAATGAACCCCCGCCATCGTCCACCGTGATGACTATCCTTTCCGTCTCTCTCTCAGAGACCTCGACCTCCCTAAAACCTCCACATAAATCCCCTATAGATTCGAAAAGTTTCTAGCACCAAAGATATAGTGGAAGGCCAAATAACACAATCCTTTTCTGCCTCGTCATCTTCCTCGGCCCAAAGCACCCCACTCTGTGGCACCACAGATCAATGAACAATTATGCATCATCCCAAGATTTTTTCCCCCATCTTAACACCCTCTGGGCTTCCTTCTTCGATGGAAATCGAAAAAGCAATAACCCATCCGGTAGATTAGAAACCATAACCCAACGAAATCTTCCAAATCTTTGAAGCCGACTCCTCAATTCCTTCCAAACTGCCCACATCTCTGTCAAATCTCCCAACGAGGCAAGATTGAAGTGTCGTTTCATGAAGGATCGTGCTCTGCTCATCCACCCGAAGAACAAACCCTTTTTCGGTGGATGTTCTCGCATCTCCCTTAACACCAATCTTGGCAGGCTCGCGACATCCAAAAACGTCTTTTTCATGACATAATATATGTATATATAATTATATCCTCGATATGTGTGTCCTTAATCAAAATCCCTAATCCTAATTAAAATTGCCTAAAATTGCCCATCTTGAGAGATCTTGAGTTTGTTTACAATAACCACTATTTATAGGTGAATTGGGGAAGACTTGTAATAAAGGAATTACACAGAAAGTCAAATATAAATATGGCAACAACTTGTTGCCCAAGTATAGTAACATTAACATTCTGTCAAGGAGTGATTTAAGCCCTTAAATCACTCCTATAAATATTTTCCAACAAGGAATATATATATAATGCATGCTCTAGGATTTTTTGGACACTAGAAGTATTTAGGGAGAATATAGAAACCTGGTAACTCAACCGTTTTAAGAGATTTAATCAGAAAGGAATTATGTTTTTGCAAACCTCGACGATTGAGTAGTATGATAATCAAACAACACTTGCGTAGTATACTTCAACTGATCCCTTGATGAAACGAAGTTCCATGTTCTTCTCCAAAAAGGATTTTGATTTGAAAGAAATTTTCAAAAAAAACAATGCATTTCAAATAGGATTTTTCAAAATTGAACATGAAATCAAAGAATCTGTTAGCAGATATGATAGCCACGATTTATGGAATGACTTACCGTATTAGCAGAGATTTATTATGCTATATAATATGTCATAGAATATGCTGTGATTTGATTTAGATTTGATTTAATTTCCTTTCTTGTAATACGAGCATGTGCTCTTTTTATATATAAAAACTAGAGTTGTGAATGAGTAATAATCTCATTCAAGCCTTTATACAATTCTCTCCTCTATCTTCTTTTTTTATTTCTACTTGGTATCAGAGCCAGGGTGGTTCGACTGCAATGAGGGTATTGCGAGTTCGGCACCACCCATTCGGGAATGGTCTAAGGTGACATCGCCCATCTAGAAGGTGTCGGGTAGGTAGGGTGATCCGATCTCAATGAGGGCGTTGCGAGTTTGGCACCACCTATTCAGAAATGGTCCGAGGAAACATAGTTATTTCTTTTTATAGTCTGAGGAGACATTGTTGATTCTTTCAGCTCCATTGTTTAAACATATGTATGAAGGAGAATTGTCTGAGGAGAAACTGTTGATTCTTCAATCTACATGTTTTAAACATGTGTATGAAGGGAAATGGTCTGAGGAGACATTGTTGGTTGTTTACGGTCTAAGGAGGCATGATTGGTTATTTACGGTTTGAGGAGACATTATTATTATTTTTTTTTGATAAGTAGAGACATTATTGATTTGTTGATCGGAACTTCATATGAGAGAAAATCATCGTTAGTCAGATTTGCACTCCATTTATCAAAAGCTCTTAGCAGCTTGCACATATTCTTACAAATGGCGTCAACAAGATTGTGTTTGAGAATGCGTTATCCAAGTTGGGCGTTTCAGATATCCACACACCAACTTGAGGAGGAGTGTTAGCAAATATAATAGGCACGATTTGTGGAATGATATTATGCTATAGAATATGCTGTGATTTGATTTAATTTCCTTTCCTGTAATACGAGTATGTGCTCTTTTTATCTATAAATATTAGAGTTGTGAATGAGTGATAATCTCATTCAAGCCTTCACACAATTTTCTAATTTTTCTTCTATATCGTATTTCTTCTGAAACCCTAATTGATTAAGTCATGAATCCTTATTGGTGAGTGCATACATGAGTGTTAATTTTAACTTCTTACCCTTAGTCTTGTAGTTCACCCTTTTTTTTTTTTTGGTTAGGTAAATCACATGCACCCACAAATACCCACTATGGGGCTCGAACCCCTGTCCCTTCCCTTTGAGGGAGGAGAGATTAGTTAGGCTAATGGCCCAACGATTGTATTTAGGGAAAATTACTACCAAGTCCTACTTTTCTTATGAAAGACAAATAAGTCCTAACTTTTTTCTTTTAGGACCAATAAATCCTAGTTTTGAGGTTTTTTTTTTCCATTTAAATTCTAAATTACCAAATCTTTCCTTTATGTCCTTGCTAAATTAGATACTCTTGCTAAATTAGATATAAAATCAAACTTTCATATATGCCCTACAAAATTAGAAATAAAATTTGGATATATAGAAAAAAATATACATTTTATTGATTTTTTTTAATAGAATCATTTAATTTTATTTTGTACTAAAATCGGTTATCCTACACAAAAGTTTTTGAATTGAATTTAAATTAGATTAATTATTATTTAAACCCATAATGCAATATTATAAAGTAACTAAAACTTAAAGGAATATATATATATATATATATAAAGATTATATATCAATTCTTGACTAAATTTATAATTACTTAATATTACTTCCATTTAGTATGGGTATTGTTACGACAAACGCAGCGAACCAAGGATAAAATCATGAATCAGGATAGAAAACAAACACTCCACACACAAATAACACAAAGATTACATGGTTCAGGTTCACCCAAAATCTGGGCTGTCCACGGTGAAGATGCAATGAAAGATTTTACTATTCGAAAAACAGGAAATTGCAAGTTTCAGCCCACAAATCCTAGTTCTCCCTGTTAGCTTTCGTCAAGGATCTGAGTTGATTTGAGTTGCATATTGTAACTAAGTTTTACCCTTCACTGATCTATACATATTCATATTGGACTCCATCCTTATGTTATGTTGGCATGAATCTTGGCGTTGGAAGGATTTCCTACCCCCTCCCCCTTTTGCAATATGCAGGTCATAGATCACCTTTAACCTATCATGGATGTTCTTGAAAATTCACAAGAATTTTCTTGCATTGGACTTTCTCATTCTTAGGCTCTATCATGCGCTACTATAATTTTCTGTATCTTGTCAGGTTGCACCAGCAGAGCTTGAAGGGCTTCTGGTTTCTCATCCTGAAATATTAGACGCTGTTGTCATCCCGTAAGTCAAATAGGGATGGAAATTTGTGTAGTTTGAATCAATCAACTCGTAAGAAATTGAATATAGCTTCTATCTGATAAACAGCTGACTGAAATATGAATCACTTCCCCCTTGTAGGTTTCCTGACGCTGAAGCTGGTGAGATTCCAATTGCATATGTTGTTCGTTCTCCCAACAGTTCGTTAACTGAAGAAGATGTTCAGAATTTTATTGCAGAGCAGGTATGGTGTTATATGTCCTCTTTTCTGATCGGCCTCCTAAATCAGCCTCTTATCACAGGAAAATGGCTTCAGTTTCTGATTACAGTCATGTAGATTATGAATTGTGATTGGAGAACATTTTTGGCTATTGATGTGTCGTTTTTATTATTATCCAATTTTTATGAGACAATAGTAGGAAATAGTTACATGTTCGTGCTTTTGTTAAAGCCAAGATGCTAAGAAATTTACTTGTATATTTGTTTCATTCAGGTTGCCCCTTTTAAAAGATTGCGGAGAGTAACATTCATAAACACAGTCCCAAAGTCAGCTTCAGGGAAAATCCTCAGAAGAGAGCTTATTGAGAAAGTCAGATCTAAGCTGTGAGATTGTATTTTACTTTAATCTGGACTAGTGTTGATGTGAAATAAAAGATTGAATTTCATTCTTTGGCAATAATAATAATGTCTTTGGAGTTCTTTTAAGTTTCTGGTGCCATATAAATTATACTTGCAATGTTGCATCTCTATTTCCATTACTAGAATTTGAGTATATGGTCCTATTGTGAATGCTAAAAATCTTAAGAATCGAAATATTCAACATACATTTTTTAAAAAGGGTAAAAGTGTAAAAAAAACTCTCCTTGAGCAATCAAATGCTTGGAAATACCTCTGCGGGTTGAAAAATAACATATTGAACTATCAAAATGTTGCAAGTTGTATTTCTTTTTAAGAAAAGAATCTACATAGAATCCACTATTTATTTACTCTCTTTTCATTTCTTATTAGGACGGCAAATGAGTGAATTGGGTCGGATTTGTACAGGGCCAAATATTTGGTATTATTAACCTATATTCAACCTGTTTGTAACGGGTTGAGTATGGTTTGGGACAAAATGGTTCGGGTCAAGAGGGGTATATTGTACTTTGCCCATAATTATTTAGTTTCAAATTGCAAGACTACCTTGTAGATATTGGTCTCTCCTTCTCTCTCCCATCTTTAAAATATTTGCTTGTCTTTTTGCCAGCCCCACAACCAAAAAGAAAAAATCATAAATTATAAATAAATTATTTGATGTGACAGTAAAAAAAAAAAAAAAAAAAAATGTTCTCTCTTGAATAAATTGTATATTTTGATAGGATTAAATTTTATCTGTTAGAATAAATTAATAAATAAGGTTAAAAAAAAAAAGTTAAAATTTATAGTATAAATAATACTTATGATATTTTACTTATCAAAAAAAAAATAATAATAATACTTATGATATTTTAAAATAAGAGATGATATTAATGAGTTTATGGATTTTTTTATTATTTTATTTAGGAAAAAAAAAAGAAAAAAAAAAAGACAAATAAAGTGTAGGGTAGAAACATGGACTACAAAATAAAAATAAAAATAAATAAATAAAACAAAAACAAAAACAAAAACAAAAACAAAAGCAAAAGCAGTTGGGTTAAATAGAATATAAAAGGGTGGAGATCTCCTTATTTAGTGGGCATTTCCCACTAGGTCACGGGGATGCTTTTGAGGTGGACATTTTTAATTCAAGTCATCAAATTATTATTTTATATTTCTTTCACATTGGCGCATGACGAAGGTGTCTGGGTCCAACGATGTCTACTGACCAGCAGATTCCACAGCTACCACATTCACGTGACGTGTTAGAGCAATCTGTATCTCTCACCTTTTTTGGAAAAAACTAAAGGGTTTGTTTGGATATCCAAGTAAGTTCGTGTTTTTTTTTTTTTTTTCCTGATATCCAAGTGAGTTGAATGGCTTCAATTTGGTTGGATCCGTTTGGCACTGCGGATGTGGGACCTAAAACAGTAGAATTGAAATTTGAAGTGGAGAGAGGACCCTATTTTTGGATCTATAATTTTTTATTTTATTTTTTTATATAGAGGTTTTCTAACTATTAAAAATAGAAGGGATTTTGTGATTTTAATGGAAAATACTACTCCTATATATAAACTTTTCATTAGGTCATATTATTAACCTAATTAATCCGATTCAATTATATGGATATTGATTGAATAAAAAATTTAATAATCCAATAACAATATCAAATTCAATATCTTAACAAATCGGATATGAATTAAGCACAATCCGATTCAATTGAAAGAGAGATAATATTCTTACTCCACTTTTTAAGGTTTTTGCACTCTAATCTAAAATGAAATGATTCTTTTAATCATAACTTAATATGTTAATAATTATTGGGCAAAGAACAATAAATCCCCTTCAATTATGGGCCTTTTCTAGTAAATTCTCTTTATCTAATCTTTTACCAAACAACCCCCTCAAACTATCTGAGAGGTAAAAAGAGTGGATGTTTGGACTAAAATGTCCTTATTGCTATTTTATTTAAATCCTAATTCATCTAAACTTCGAAATTTCATATCTTAGAAACCGTACATTCAAAAATTACCAATAATATTTGCACAGAAAGCTTATTAAATAAGGATTCCAAAAATATAAAATTTGTGCAACCAGACATCATAACCAGAGAGGAATAGGCAATCTAAGAATCTGTTCCAACATTCTTATTTTATTTTTAAAAAATAAAATACTCGGTATATTTGCAAGAAAATTTTTAGATTATTCATTTGCATATGGAGCATAACATATAAAAAATTTAGCCACAACAGAGACCGATTTCATGGGATATCATATTGTGCATCAAGGTATTTTCATTTTCTTATAGAGTAACCATTTAAAAAAAAAAATCAAAATGAATAATTGGTCTCCATTGGGGCTAAATTTTTTATATGTTATGCTCCATATATAAATAAATAATTATGAAAATTTTCTTGCAAATATCTCGAGTATTTTATTTTTATTGAAAATTTTCTTGCAAATGTCTCGATTATTTTATTTTCTAAAAATAAAATAAGATTATTGGAGTAGATTCTTAAATTACTTATTTCTCTCTGATTATGGTGACATGTTGCACAAATCTTATATTTCTGGAATTCTTGTTTTATAAGTTTTTCATGCATATATTATTTGCAATTTTTGGATATACAATTTGTGAGATATGATTTTTGAAGTTCGGATGAATTAGAATTCAAATAAAACAGACATCCACTCTTTTACTCCCCTCAAATAGTTGGAGGGGGTTATTTAATAAAAATTAGACAAGAGGATTTTATTAAAAAAAATGACATAGTTAAGGGGGGTTTATTGTACTTTGCCCATAATTATTTAGTTTCAAATTACACAACTAAACCTTGTAGATACAATTGGTCTCCCCTTCTCTCTCCCATCTTTAATATTTTTTGTCTTTTTGACAGCCCCCAACCAAAAAGAAAAAATTATAAATTATAAATAAATTATTTGATTTGACAGTAAAAAAAAAAAAAAAAAAAAGAGAAAAAAAAAAGAAGAAAAGGTTCTCTCTTGAATAAATTATATATTTTGATAGGATTAAATTTTCTCTGTTAGAATAAATTAATAAATAAGGTAAAAAAAGTTAAAATTTATAGTGTAAATAATACTTATGATATTTTAAAATAAGAGATGATGTATTAATGAGTTTATAGGTTTTTTTATTATTTTATTTAGGAAAATAAATAGAAAAAAAAAAAAGACAAATAAAGTGCAGGGTAGAAACATGGAGTACAAAATAAAAATAAAATGAAAATAAAAAACAAAAACAGTTGGGTTAAATAGAATATAAAGTGGTGGAGATCTCCATATTTAGTGGGCATTTCCCACTAGGTCACGGGGATGCTTTTGAGGTGGACATTTTTAATTCAAGTCGTCACGTTATTATTTCATATTTCTTTCACATTGGCGCATCATGAAAGTGTCTCTGTCCAATGATGTCACTACAGTAGTAGTCCAAAGGTATCTTTGGCTTGCTATACATTCACATGACATGCTAGCAATTTGTATCTCTCACCTTTTTCATGTTAGCAATTTGTATCTTTGACCTTTTTGGAAAAAACTTAGGGTCTGTTTGGATATCCAAGTAAGTGTGTTTTTTTTTTTTTTTCCTGATATCCATGTGGGTTGAATGGCTTAATTTTCGTTGGATCCGTTTGGCACTGCGGATGTGGGACCTAAAACAGTAGAATTGAAATTTGAAGTGGAGAGAGGACCCTATTTTTGGATCTACAACTTCTTCTTTTTTTATTTTTTATTTTTATAAAGGATTTATAACTATTAAAAGTAGAGGGGGTTTATGATTTTAACGGAAAATACTACTCCTATATAAACTTTTCATTGGATCATATTATTATCCTAATTAAGCCGATTCAATTATATGGATATTGATTAAATAAAATATTTAATAATTCGATAACGATTTGAATTTGATAATTCGATACTTTAACAAATCAGATATGAATTAAATACTATTCGATTCGATTAAAAGGGAGACGATATTTGTCCTCCACTTTTTTAGATTTTTGCACTCTAATCTAAAATGAAATGATTCTTTTAATCATAACTTAATATGTTAATGTTAATAATTTTTTAGCAAAGTACAATAAACCCCCTTCGACTATTGGCCTTTTCCAGTAAATTTTCCTTGTCTAATCTTTTACTAAAGAACCCCCTCCAACTATCCGAGAGAGGTAAAAGAGTAGATGTTTGGACTAAAATGCCCTTATTATTATTTTATTTAAATCCTAATTCATTTGAACTTCGAAATTTCATATCTTAGAAACCGTACATTCAAAAATTACAAATAATATATGCACGGCAAGTTTATGAAACAAGAATTTCAGAAATATAAGATTTGTGTAACAAGACATCTTAACAAGAGAGAAATAGGCAATTTAAGAATCTGCTCCAACAATCTTATTTTATTTTTTACTCGGCATATTTGCAAGAAAATTTCCAAATTATTCATTTTCATATAAAGCATAACATATAAAAAATTTAGCCACGAAAAAGACTGATTTCATGGGGTATTATATTGTGCGTCAAGGTATTTTTAATTTTTTATAGACTCACCATTTAAAAAGAAATCAAAAATCAAAATGAATAATCGGTCTCTGTTGGAGCTAAATTTTTTATATGTTATACTCCACATGTAAATAAATAATTATGAAAATTTTCTTGCAAATATCCCTAGTATTTTATTTTAATTGGAATTTTTTTTGCAAATATCTCGATAATTTTATTTTCTAAAAATAAAATAAAATTACTGGAGTAGATTCTTAGATTGCTTATTTCTCTCTGGTTATGGTGGCATATTGCACAAATCTTATATTTCAAGAATCCTTGTTTCATAAACTTTTCGTGCATATATTATTTGTAATTTTTGGATGTACAATTTGTGAGATATGATTTTTGAAGTTCGGATGAATTAGAATTCAAATAAAACAGCAATAAGGGCATTTTGGTCCACCCCCTTAGATAGTTGGAGGGGGTTATTTGGTAAAAAAATTAGACAAGGGGAGTTTATTAAAAAGGCCTATAGTCAAGGGGGTTTATTGTACTTTGATCATAATTATTTAGTTTCAAATTACATAACT